TGGAGAAGATCTACTTAATTTTTGGCTTAACATTGCAACAGAATATCCAGAAATTTCCAAAAGGGCTACAATAACAATTTTAATGCCATTTTCCACTACGTATTTGTGCGAAAAATCGTTTTCGACGTATGTTGCAACGAAAACTAAGTACAGAAATCGATTAAATGCAGAAAATGAAGTGCGTTTACAGTTAACAACAATAGAACCCGATTTCAGAGTCTTATGTGAAAATACACAAGCACACCCAAGCCATTGAATTGGAGGTGATTTATAGTAAAATAACGAAATCTTTGTTAAATCTCAATGTTTTTCAATTTACATTATCACTGATTTTTTTCCAAAAATTTACGTAAAGGATGTATTAATATTAATCAATATAAAATGAATAAAATGTGTGTGTTCATTACAATATCAACTGTAACTAAATGTATATAAAAAGAGTTGCGGACATTAAAAAAACACTTTTTTTTTCTATATTAACCTATGGGTTCCCAAAAATAATAACACAACCCAAAGGGTTCCACTACTCAAGAAAATTTGAAGACCGCTGCTCTAAATCAACGTCGTTTATTATGTTAGGATGGGTCGCGGGGCGAAATTTCACTTTTAGACCTCTTAATATCGAATTATGACGGTTAAATAAGATCTTACACCCTATGGCAAATTGGTTTGGGATTCTACGAAAGAGTGCAGATAAGGATAGGAATAATAACGTTTTCCTTCTGAATGTTTCAGTATGTACATATGTAAGAATAAGATAATAACTAGAGTTGTGACTTTTATTTAAAAAAATGGTCTAAATTTATTTAGACAGACTTCCCGGGCCTCTAAATTTTATCTTTTTATCATAACCCCTATAAGTTAAAATAAAGGTGGGTGTGGACTGTAAAACTACCTGTAAAGAAGTACATATGCTGAGAATATGTTTCAAGTGAGTTTTCAATAATAAAACTGTAAATTGTAAATAAACTGTTGATAATAATAATAATACTAACAATAAAAATAATTTTCACCCACCTCATTATGATGAATACAAGATAACATTATTAAAGACACTTTATTTGCCAAATGGATATCTCACATACCCAGCAAACACTTAAACGAGTTCCTTCTTAACCCGTCCACATTTCCAACATTGGTGGTCAAAAAACCGCTGTTTGATGGTTCTTATCGTATAAGATATCACTGGCCTTGTGAATACTGCGTGTGTGCAATATTCTGCCCTCGGTTAATATGAAATCGGTTAATATGGAACTGTTACGATGAACCCAATTGGGTTCTCCTTTTGCGATTGTATTCAGACCTTTTGTGTCGTACTAGGATAGTCCAGGGTGCTACCCATGTTTTTACCCCACCGGAAAGCTCATTCAGTATGCATGGTTATATCGATTTCTCAGAGTTCTCTCAAATCATGAGCCGCGACTCAGGAATGCCATCTTAAGGCCTGCTCATTACTTTTAACTTAGCTTCATATTTATGTTTATTGTCATTTTAAGTAATTGTTAAATTTGTTTTGTTAGTTGTTAAATGTTAACAGTGAATTCTTGAATGAAACTATATAGTAAGTTGTTATATAGGCTGTAGGCTGTTAGTAGCTATTAAATTATCAAATGTTAATTTAATGTGGTGTCTTGTAATTGGAAGATTATTTTGTTAGGCAATTAAATTTATTTCTCTATTATTTATTTATCGACTTTACTCGGCCACTTTAACGAGCCGTTATCTCGTTATATCTTGTTTAAACTGTATATTAATAGATTATTTTATGGAGCGAATCCGCTTAGTGTTTTAATTTATCTACCTTTCTCACCTTCCGAATAGGCTCTTCACAGGTCCGAGACCTAAGGGGCAATATTCGTACGACCACCGCCAAAAATTCAAACATCAAAACTCGAACACTAAATGTTCAAATAAGCGAGTTATAGAAAAGAGCCGCCAAGGCCACCACAAAGTTTAATAGTTTGGTTTTAATGGGTTAGCGAAAGAGTACTTACTCTTACTTCTAGAACAAGTAAAGAAAGTTAAAAACGCTCGACATATAAAAAACGGACTCTTAAACAGTTTCACATTGGTTAAGATTAAGATTCACGTGAACCAACTTTGTTATGAGCTATGATGAACTTGAAATGACTGAAGTGATTATTATCAAACGTAGCTAAGAACATTCCGGTTAAATTAGCTTTCCAACACAAGAAAAATCGGTGGTAAACACAGTATCTGAATACTCTTCGGATAAGGAAATAACAGAAAATAATGATAATTTAATAATGTTTTGCCAAGATTTGGTCAGGACATGTTCCATTTCAAGAGAAATTTTTGCCATAAGTTAGAGTACTTAGTCAATTAGCTAGTATTGTTGGACTATGAAATTCAATCCGATTAACAATTGCCACAAAGGGAGTTTACCATTTTTCAGTGATATTTTTCAGTACATGGTAAACAATCTCCTCTTCTGCCAATTGCTACTGTTTGCATGACGAACCTAATTTCCGTTGTATCGTTCAACCTAACACAAACTTTGTTTGGTTTGAAAATTACATTTCTGTTCAGTCAGTTTATGATTGCCCCTTATTTTACAGATATTCGTTAAATTTAACCGTACTCCAACAATCATCTTTAACGATCAACAAAAAACGTCCTCAAGTTGGCAGTGGATGAGCATCGTCTACTACTCAAAATGAGGAATGACAACAACAATAAAAAATCTTGGGCATGCTTAACAACGATTTTTGTTAATTGTATGTTTTATGTACAAACTACGACACATATATTTAAAAATTCCTTTATGAACTTACGCGCTGTGCTGTCCACCTAGAACTTCATACATGCAATAAATTTACATAAATATCATCCACTCGTAGCTTGAGCACGTAAAAATAAGAAAAAGTGAACCTTTTCAACGGTCGTAACACCATCTTTGCTTGAAATCTTGTAAAATAAGCACAACGTTCGCTCCCGTCAGACGATAAATACATCGAAGTCACTACTTTACATGTATTTTAATTTAAAGTCCTCTGCCAACATATGAATAAAACAGTAGGACCCCCTCAACCCTTCCGATGGGCAAATAAAACTGTGAGGATAAATGGACCATATCGGAGGAGATTTATGGGCCCGGTCAGGTCTGCTAGTAAAACATTTATAACCGGAAACCGGCGTTAGGTGGCGCTGCTACCGGATTTGTGCATGTGAGCGTAATTAAAACTTTACGGCCCGAGCTGTAAACTGCATAATTGTTTTAAGCGACTGCAGCGCTCCTGAACTGTTTTTACGGTAGTTTTTATGGATTCCAAGCCGAAAACTGTTCCTTTATGTTATTATTTCATAGATTTTACGAACGTGAGCTCTTTATACGGTTAATAAAGTCCTGGCTGGCCGAATACTGCTTTTCATCAAAGAATTTCCCGATTTTGTTATTGGGGGAATGTAATACTGTGTTGGCTTGATTAGTTCGTTGCTTTGTAGGGAAAAGGCTGCCTTCATTAAAAATGTTTCGATTCGTTTTTTCTGATTTACTTTCAAGTCACAACTTGAGAATTTCTGGTTTCAATTACAGTGCAGACAGCGGCTTTTACACCAATGAAAGTAGAGCCGACAAAGAGATATTGTATATTAGAAGATATTCTTTTTAGTTTTGTCAATGCAGGAAATGGAGTACTTAGATGTGGAAGAAAATATAGTTGTCTACCATATAGCACAAAAGAATAAATTCCATATTTGTGTTAGCAGAACTACTGTGTGGTAGAAATGAGGTTAATGTTTCTTTCGTATACAGAGTGTTTATAAAAATATTTTAATTACTACAATTTCCAAATATTCATATTTAAGTCTTTCAGATAGAGCACCCTATATTTTATTACTGCATCTTATTCTATTTCAACACATCGACATATTAGAAAAATGAGGATAAAAATACAATAAAATAAAATAAACTGTGTTCCATTTGAAAAAACCGAACTATTGATATTTGAAAATTGTATAGTTCTAGTTTTTTGTATAAACACTCTGTATATTAAAATTTAATCAAGTTGATACCACAGTAAAGCGCGTACCTTTATTTATTCTTCCACAAAATACCGTAAGATAGACCTTAAAAATAACCTTATTGTGATTTTTTGTGCACCCTTCCATCGCCAAAAACTTTCAAGAAAAATGGAATAATAACTTCGCAACTCTGCATCGGAATTTCAAAAGTAAATTGTAGTTGTAAAGCCTAAGAAAATGTCACTCAAAATATGTACAAATATATAGGGGGTTTTATTAAAAACTAAGCTGTGGGTTACGTCTGAAAAAGAGAACACTCAGTATAGTTAAACAGTATAATTAAAAATAATTTTAGAGTATAGTCCTCAAAGAAACGTACTACTTTAACCGTTGTCTTTTTCTTCTATTTCTAATAATGACATATGGATAAACGCGCGCTTGGTGACTCACCCTGTATATTACAAAAATCCACTTTTAAAGTTATTGATAGTAATCACCAGTTTGTAATTTTTAATAGCACTACGACTATTCTATTCTTCAGAACCAAAACTTTGTCAAGAAATCACGTTACAAAATTTCTTAAGGAAGCATCGGATGATAAATTTCAAAGGGTAAACAATTATATTGTAAATAATTTCCTCGAAACCTTGACATTATTCTAAGTTGCCTCAATCTTAGGTATTTTTTAGACTTTATAAAAAAATAATATGGAAAAAGAGAATCTGTTTTGATCTTTTAAATTTTACAGTGCACTTATACCCACTTTATACGACGGACGGTGATGGTCCAGAGTTTCACCGATATCGCGTGGGGGTGGCGTGCCTCAGTGTCAAGCCCTGTGCCGACTAGTGCCGCTGAAAAAAAACACGTCTGGGTGACCTAAGCTATGCCGCCTCCGGTTGGGAGCAGCGGTGCTCGGGCGCCAGCTCCCTCTTCGGGGAGGGAGCACCGGTCTGGCTCTAAAGCCGGAGGTGATTTGGTAAGCGCCCACGGAAACGAGAAATAAAACGGCGGAATCTTTAACAATAATCAGGTTTTTATTCCCTACCACCAGTTACACGGCTAAAATAATGTTATGATTAATTATTACAAATTATATCACAATTCGGTTTGAACTTCAAGAAAAAAAAATAACACATGGTTGTTTCCTCCTGGACGGTGGCTTCCTTCGGGATGGCTCCTCCTACCTGGGGGCGGCGATCCTGGAACGGGAAATCGAGCGGAGACGGTACGGCGACACGCGTGCTCAACGGGTCAGGGTTCTTCGGGTTTTCGCTCGGGAACGGTGATTCAAAAACGGTAAGCAAACAGGCAGAAAACCCAAAACGGTACTTATGGCGGTTAGTCTCAAGCACTTGATCCAAAAATACTTGAATTATATACTAAATAAAATGGAGTATTATGCCTGTTATGATTGAAATAATTGCTGTTTGAAGGTGGAATTAAAAAAATAACTTTTGAAGAAAAAGGAAAAGTATAGGAAAGGGTGCCGGAATTTTTAGGAAGAACTGAATTATATTATTAATTAATAACTAGATTCATCAACAAGTAGGTAACATAAATTATTTCAACAAAGCAGTGTTAATAAGAATTCACTTTATTTTATTCAGACGAAATGGTACAAAATTAATTTACTGAACGACAATATACCGCACTTATGATTTATATAAAAAAAACTTCGGCGAGATTATTTGAATAAACCCCTCTTCCCAACCTCTCGAATCACACTTTGCTTTCAAGAAGGTAGATATTAAATTAGAATTCTCCAATGACAACAATTTCTCGCCAGCAGTGAAGGTCCTTATATTATTATTATCCACACATAAATATTTACCTACATCTAAGTGAAAAAATTCAAAATATATTGTGGTGAATGCAGAACTATTATGACATTCAATAAAACGGAAACTATGGTGCGACGACCGAAAAAGCATCAGTTTAAAATAAAAATGATTTAAAATGAGAAATTAGACGATGGACCTTCAATACTGTTTTCCTTGTAGGAGTGATCCTAATTTTGAAATTAGAAACATCATTTTTACAAAACGATTTATTAGATAAAGATGTTGAGTAAACCGGAAGTGTGTTTGATATGTGCACGGAACTGACATGACGTCAGCCTCAACTATTATCTGCTGATAACTTCTTTATGTTTAATGTTACCATATAAATAAATGTGTCTGTACTAATACATTTTACTGTAATAATTTTGTTGTGAAACTTTTGACTTTTAACAGTGATTTTTACTCTAGAGATGGAGAAGGCCGAAGTAAGTACTTAACTAAATATTATTATGCTTTGAATAAAACCCAAAAACGTTGACAGCTGAAAATGTTCAGGTCGGATGTCAAAATCAATACGAAAATATTCAGCGCAGTTGTCCAACATATTGGGTTTGTTTCCCTCTGTACATTTATTTAATTTAGTAAATGCTAATAGCAAATTATTGAGAAGAAAATTCTCACCTGAGTATTTAAGGATAAGTCCAACCATGTCCTGGCTCATGAAGCAAATTTATTTTCAGCTGTTGCTTACAGAAAATGCCTGAAAAAAATGAATGCTTTTGCCAACTAGTTTTCTTGAACGGTAATAAATTTTCGAAAAATTCTGGCAAAAGAGTAACCTAACGAGTAATAGATTTATGTATACCAAACAACCCAACGGAGTCATTTCGAAAAAATGTTGTATAAAACTTGACTGAAAGATGCCCATTACTATATTTGTGTATACGAGTACATATAAATTGCAATAATATTCTGGTCTTCTTAAAAATACTCAAAAAACTAAAATTAGGAAAGCTATGTTAGTCAATACACAGGGTGTTTCAGGAAGTGTGGCCAAACCTTAGACATCACAACTCCTTACACTTTTTCATATACTTAATTATTATGCGTAATTCTTGCCAGATTCATTACTGTTTCATTTTTTTGACGTTGGATATAAACCAAATTCTCGACGAAATTTTCAACCAACCTAAATTTGATTTTCTTGAGCAAAGTGGTAGAATCATTCTCATCTCTACTCTTATTCACAGAAAAGAAGAATTGCTAAATGCGTACTAGTGCATACTTTGGGTTTTACCACCATATCAAAGTCCATGACAGCATATCCAACATTGACGAATACAAAAAATAATTCACGCATAGTGACAATTACAAAGTGTCATTTATGACTGTTATAAAGCGCATATGTAATGATATAACTTACATTTTTCATTGCCAGAGATTTACGAAACTTATATAATGAAATTCGCTGAATAATGAAGGTAGTGTTAAATTCCAAAGACTTCCAGGATGAAAAGGAATAATTTTAAGAAAAATGTTATTATTTTTTTAAAGAAACGACAGAATTTGCATCCGAAATTTGACGCATATGCTCCAAAACACCCTGTATATTTAATTTATAACTGAATACTATTTATGTGTTCTCTCAGATTACATCGTAACAACTCTTTTGTTAATTGAGAGAGATACAGAGTTTCTATAAATGAATACAGGGCCAAAATAAGTCATGGATGCGTGCCGCCTCTCACTTTATTGTATTTTACTAAATGCCCAAGGACTCTCGAAAAAACCCATACGCATCCGTATAACTAAATGCTTCATTTTTTGCGGTTCCTGCTCAAGTCATGAGATTACGCTCTTTTTTGTTTCCTTGTTACTTAATATACTCTTGTCATCTATGTTTGTGGATGTTTCAGATTTTTCGCAAAAGGACTGGAACGACGGATAAGGGTAAGGAATACGAGAATGCCGTTATCACCAAAGTTATCCTCCAACTAATAACCGACGATACTGTCAAAAATTTTCATCTCTCGTCAAACGATGAACAATTTGGAGCATTTGACGACTTAGTCGTCAAACTTGAATCAAATAAAGGTATCGATGTGATAGCAATGCAGTTGAAGCACAGCGAGAGAAAAATATTGTCCACAGAACATTTAAAATCCAAAAAAGGGGATTTCAGTATTAGTAAATATTTCAAATGTTACCAAGAAATAGGGAGTACTACAGACGAATTTATACTCTTCACCAATCGTCCATTCAATTGCAACGACAATGTAAAATTTCAGCTCGAAGAAGAGGCGTTTTATATTCAGCCGATTGAAGCAAAAGGCAGCTTAGAAGTTTCAGAAAAAGCAAATCGGGTTTATCAGTTTCACGTAGTCGAAGATCCATCGACCACAGGAAACCTTCCCAAAATTCAAGAATATAAAGCCTTTTTTGAAAAATTTTATCTATACACCGATCAAGAAAATTTTGATAGTATGAGAAATTCAACGATGAACAAATTCAGAGCAACATATACTTCAAACGAGGACATATTCGACAAAGTTTTTAAAATGATATCTAAATGGAACATGCAAGAAGGTAGTAAGGCAAAACTAACCAAAAAGTGGATGAGGACGGTAATTGCGCTGCAGCTTCTGTGTTCTCACATCGAGCCTTTATCCCTTGGTTCAGTAAACGAGAGGACGAAAATTTTTCGAGAAGTTATTGCGCAGTTCGACATCACATTATTTGGGGAAAAATCATGTGAAACGGTTAAACAAATGTGGGGTGACAGTAGAGAAGACAAGATCGACGTTACTGAATTAACTAGAGTTGGAAGAAATTATCAACTTGCCACCAGTTGCATCGATGGGAATAACTTAAACGTAATGGCATTTAGTCAAATATTATGGATAATGGACAAATGTCCACTGATAGTTCATGAGTTTGAAGGCTTTGAGACAGTCATGCAGCTCTGTCCAGAGAAAAAGTTCATCTTGGTTGGTGCAGACAAGAAGAAGGGATGGATGACAAATTATTCGGTGTTTCGAAATTTATCGGACTTGTCTCAGAAGCGTGACATGCGTGAAAGAGTGATGCACAGTTTTACAATATCTATCCAAAAAAAGAAAGAACTTGATCTTTTAAGCGCTTTCGGTAATGATGAACCATTTTTAGAAATTATTACAACAGACAATTTGGTGGAAATGCTAAATGGTCCATGTAATATAGGCGGAGAAAAAGAAACACTTCCTGAACCCTACATTGAACGCTATCTTTCTAGAAATATTATTAGTATCGCGTACCTAGAAAAAGTTCAAGAAAATACGACACTTGTCTTAAATTGTGCAAATAATTTAGACAAAGTAAAAGACAAACTTAGCAAATACAAATTAATTGACATCGATAACTTTTTACAGAAAAAGAATCAAAACTTTGAAAATTTAACGAACAATGAATTGCATAAGTTTATATTTAATCGAAGTAAACACAAAGATACTTTTAATCTTGATAAATCCACCTTTGTTAACACGATCTATGTAGGTAATAGGAATTACACTGATTCAGAGTTACAACAAATTTGCAGTGAAAACACAGAAATCAAAACAATTCACTACTTTAAACTTTTAAATGATGGAAATTTGGAGTGGATTAAAAGCAGAGGTGATGTTAGTGATTTAGAGAGTTATAAATTTTCTGGCAAATATTTTATTAACGAACACGCACTTTGGTCTTCCCGATTAGATAACAATATTAATTTAATAACTGGCGATCCAGGAATGGGTAAATCTGAGCTAATGAAAAGCTTTAAAAATAAAGCCCCACGCGAATATTGGACAGTCATAATTCACCCTAAAGAAGTTAATTCATTTTTTAACCATAGCAAATTTTCTGAAACAGATTTATTTGAAACATTTATCATGAAAGAAAAAAATCGATCATTCAAAACCTTAGATCAAAGCTTTTTCGAAATGTGTGTTAAGAAAAACCGTGTTATTTATGTGTGGGATGCACTTGACGAAATCCTAAGCGAAAATTTAGACGCCGTTTCAAAAATAATCTTCCACCTCTCGAAAAAAGGTTGCCTTCAATGGATCACCAGTCGAACCCATCTAAGAACATTTCTAGAAAAAAAAATTAGTTTGCTTTCGCTGGCTATAAATCAGTTCAGTGAACAAGAACAACAAGATTACATAAGAAAACGTCTAACTTTTTCGGTTTCTGGTGACGAAATTGAGGTCACCGTAGAAAAAATTAAATCATCATTTGCGGTTGTACAGCATGTGGACATATTAGGAATTCCGCTTCAAATATTCATGACTACAGAACTATTTCGCCAAAATAAAGACAAATATTTGAGACTAATGGAAAACTCGTTTCTTTTGACCGACTTATATGAATATTTTATTGAGGAAAAATTTAATAGTTTTTACAAAGATAAAATGGGATTCGATGTTCAAAATCCCCACATGGAAAGCATAATTCGTGAGAAAAAACGAAAAGCTTTAGCTCATTACGAAAGTATCGCATTTAAAGTCGTATTTCCTGGAGAAATTTTACAGCGATTAAACATCGATTGTGAAAAGCACATGGAAAAAGTTTTGCAAAGATATTCGTCCCTTGGTCTTGTTAAAGACTTTCAAAATAGTGTGCCACGTTTTCTTCATGGCTCTTTCGCGGAATATTTAGTTGCTACATATTTTTCAAAACATTTTGATAATATTAAAAACACACTCGTGGACGTAATATTTGACGCTAAGTACAATAACGTCCGGTTTTTCTTTGACGTGTTGATGGCCGAAAACTCGAAAGTGCACATAGCCGTCTTATATAAAAACTACGAATTACTTCAAACGTTTGATGATGAAATTTTAACACGTAAAGATAACGGTGGCCGAAGTGTTTTACATTTGATTTCCTCATGGGGACAAAGACACCCGCAAGTAAAAATAACGGGTGTACCTGGACAGTATATTGTACACGAAAACAACAGTTTCAGTAAAAAAGCGGAAAAAGAAGCGTATTTTAAAACTGTTAGGTATTTACAAAGCAAGAACGATGTTGACGAAAATGACGTGTTATTGGGTGCGACGCCACTGTCTTACGCCAGAAAAAGCGAGAGTTTAGGGGCGGAACTAAAATTACTTCAAACCATAAACTCTGCCTTAAATCGATCATGCACTTGTAATGAAATAATAAACCTCTTGTATTATTCCTCTTTGCTAGGCTACGATGAGGTGTGTAAATTATTTACGGTTCAAGAATTAAGTAACCTTTGGCACCAAGTGAAATTTACTACCGCAGAAACGGCTAAAACTCCTCTTTTGTTGGCATCCGAAAGTGGTCATCTAACAATTGTTAAATATTTGCTAAAATCTGGTGTCGAAATTGACTGCGTTAGTAAATCCGGAAAGACACCACTTTATGCAGCTTCGCTAAATGGCTACGGAAAAATTGTAGAGTCGTTAGTGAAAGCCGGGACCCAAATAAATCGCGATTGTAAAGAGGGTGTGACACCACTTCATGTGGCATCATTTAATGGTCACGAAGAAACGGTGATCTGCTTAGCGAAAGGCGGTGCCGATATCAATCGCCCTGATAACTTGGGTGGAACACCACTTCATGCGGCTTCTTTTAAAGGTCAGGCAAAAACTGTACAATCCTTACTGAATATTGGCGCTAAGATTAATTGCACTGACAGTGAGGGCTGGACACCACTTCACATAGCTTCCTTCAATGGCCACGGAAAAACTCTTGAATGCTTAGTCAAAAATGGCGCCGAAATCGGTCTCGTTTGTAACAAGGGTGAGACACCACTTCATGTTGCTTCTCAAAATGGCCAGGAACAAGTTATTGTCTACTTAGTGAAAGTTGGCGCCCAAATCAATCGTGGTAATTACGATGGTGCGACACCACTTTACGTAGCCTCGCAAAGCGGTCACGAAAATATTGTCGAAATCTTAGTGACAGCAGGTGCAGAGATTAATTGCCCCGATAATTTGGGTTGGATACCACTTCATGCAGCGTGCGAGTATGGCTACGGAAAAATTGTCAAATACTTAGTCGAAAACGGCACCAAAATCAATTGGTCTAACCTTGAAAACGTGACACCACTTCACGTAGCGTCACAGAATGGTCACGAAGAAATTGTACAATATTTAGTAAAAGTCGGCGCCGAAATCAACTGTCTTTCTAGAAAGAGTGAGACACCACTTCACTTAGCTACGCGCAACGGCCACGAAAAAACTGTACAATATTTAGTGAAAGCCGGCAGCGAAATTGATCGGGCTTATGGTGATGGTTGGACTTCGCTGCACCTTGCGTCCCAATACGGCTACGAAAAAATTATTAGTTACTTACTAGAAGCCGGTGCCGAAATCAATCGAGGTAATAAGGAGGGTGCGACACCACTTCACGTAGCTTGTCATAGAGGCCACGGTAAAGCTGTGACACACCTGGTGAAAGCCGGCGCCGACATCAACTGCGCTGAAGCTATGGGTTGGACACCATTCCACATAGCCGCGAAATATGGCCACGACGAAATTGTCAAAGATCTGGCAAAAGCTGGCGCCGATATCAATCGTTTTAATAAAAGGGGTCAAACACCACTCCATTCCGCTTCCCGACACGGTCACCAAAATATTGTCAAATTCTTAGTGAAAGTCGGGGTCGATGTCAATTGTTCTGATAATGACGGCAGCACGCCACTTTCGGCAACTTGTCAAAAGGGCCACGAAGAGACTGTGCAATTTTTAGTGAAAGCTGGCGCTGAAATCAATCGATTTGATAATATGGGTTGGGTACCACTTCATACAGCGGTAGAATGCGGACACGAAAAAACTGTGGAATGTTTAGTGAAAGCCGGCGCCGAAATCAATCCCGTTAGTAATGAGGGTCTGACTCCTCTTCACGCAGCTTGTCGAAAGGGCCATGAAAAAATTGTGGAATATCTACTTAAAGTCGGTGCTGAAACCAATCGTGGTAATGACGATGGTTGGACACCCCTGCATATGGCTTCCGCGCACGGACATGACGCTATTATAGAATGTTTGATAAAAGCCGGTGCTGAAATCAATCGCACTAATCGGGAAAGTATGACATCACTAGATGTAGCTTTCCGGACAGGCCAGGAAACTACTGTTCAGTACTTGGTGACACATGGTGGCAAAATCAATAGCGCTAAACAAAAACGTGGCACACCATTTTATGATGTTTCAAAAAGGGAAAATAGGAACCAAAGCGCCTCTAAGCGATTTAATTGCAGCGTAATGTAGTGAGTTGTAGAGTATGTTTTAATGTTACGTCTCTCTGTTAGTATAGTTAATAAATAGGTAACCAAAAATGATACTACTAAAGTAGACATTATGTGCTGTTCCTTTGGAAATTTTATTAGGTGCACAATAAAATAATGCTTTAAAGAACATGTTTCATAAACTCACTATTATGACACCAGTTCAAGATTTTACGAAGTAAAACAAGCCTTTTTATACTATGTTTTATTGGGGAAATATAACGCCTTTATTTTAAAACGTCATGACAATAAATTAAGTTATTTTGACAGCCTTAGTTGGCATCCATCCAAGACAAATTTAACGTACACCATTAACCAAAAGAGTTTTTAAAGAAATAATGGGACACGAACGCTTCTTTTGTATATGCAATTTAAAAAGTGTCGATTTTCATTTTAACAAGGAGCAATTTTACGAAGGGCAATTTGTACACTCGCTTCAAAGAAATCGTTCATATATAAACCCGATAACATAAATGGCTAAATTCTACAGATTTCATATTTTTGCAAGTACATTCGCCGCGTAAAGCTATGTGTAACGAAACTTCCTGAAATGGTAATCTGAGAAAAAAATAACTCGAAAAATCACGAAAATAATAAATAAGTGGAATGCAAAGTATTTAAAAATTAAGAAGAAAAAGTTAGTGTTCATCACTCATCAACTGATGTTACCTTAAATTGTTGGATTATGACTGATATTAGTTGGTATATCGATGTACATTTAATAACAAAAGTTTCTCTACATCACTTCATCACGTCTGCTTTGTCCTGTCGTGACTACATTAGAAATATATAAATTGGAATTTGAAGCTATAGCCTGGCACCATTTAGTATTGCCTCAAGATTTTCTTACCGATTTTTACTAACATTTACAACGATCAACTGGCAACACAACAATTGAGATATAAATACGACAAATAATCTTTCAAGATTAATTACCAAAATTCAACGTAACTTATCAACTAAAAGGGAAGCAGATTATAAACTTAACTACTGACAGCTGTTCGTAAGGTAAGAAGGAAAACCAAGATTCGCCGTATTTAATATACTCTGGTTTTAGCATTTTAGCAAACTTGTATACGGTGGACGAAAATTATGATTTATGTTTACTTCTAATTGTCAACAGGAAGAACAGATCACTCAGCATATCTAAAAGCAATAGATTAGATGTGATTCTAGGAATCGAGGCAACCTTACAACGCTATGATTTTGAAACATTACGTTGTTATTAACTCTATGCAAAATGTAAGTAAAATCTTACTTATTCTTTTCTTGATATCAATGCCCTTGAAAAAAACGCTTTTTCTTTCCACTTATTTTTGGAACATTTTTATTTACGGGGAACAGGTTTCGGATAAAATATTTGATCACGCCGATTCTACAATTTAAATTCAATTGGTGGTGTACAGCACCTCATTTTTTATATAAGTCCTACCTGTCAAAAATTTTGCAAATCTACATAAAATGTCTGTTTTCTTATGAGCTGACACACTATACAAATTAAAATGTATTTTAAAAACACTTACAATAAACGATAATATTCTTTTTAAAGTCACGCAGTGTTACGTTTTTTGATTTCCCCCGAAAATTTAAAATTTTTTGTCGCTTTTACCTTGTTGGATATTGCTGGTCATCTTTTTGTCAGTGGTTACGGTTAATTCTTCTTTGTGTTTTCCTTATGTCTAACAAGGTGTTGTTGCATGTTCTTTTATTCTTTGTTTGATGCTTGTACCTATTTTTCCAATGTATGTTGCCCCGCATTCTTTACAGCTGATTCATCTCCTACCTTCTTTATTGATTTCACCTTATTGGTTGAACAATGTGGGGATATCATTTGTGCATTCTACAGTAATTGTTATGTTAAATTATTCTATGATTTTTTTAATTTCCTTCGATACACCGCCAATGTACAAAATTCTGCTATATACATTATCTATTTCTTTATTTCTATCTTATTTTCCTTTATATTTTTCTTCTATTCCTCTTGGTTCGTTTATTTTCGTGAATATATAATTTATATCTTCTAAGAAATACTCGTTGTTGAAGGCTATATGTGCGATGATCTTATCTTCTTTGTCATTTTCTTCATATTATGTTTGTGTTTTTAATTCAATTGAACGGGGTATCTAAAAATTATTATAGGGTCGAAATAGGTCATGGAAGCGTGCTGCCTATCACTTTATGTGGAGTTTGCTAAATGCCAAAGGATTTACGACACAGTATATCTGGTTGCCTAAATTGTTCATATCTTACTGAAAAATTAAATTAATTCATTACAATGAAAAGAAACAAATTTATTGTGGTTAAACATAACAGTAAATATTGAAAATGTATACCATTTTGTTCAGTGCACGTATTCACTCTCTTTTTAATTTCAAAAATGTTCTGTAACAACCTTTCCTCAAGTTTGGACCCATTGTTCGATTTCACGTTGCAACAGGAACTCCTGACTGCTGAGACAATCTTGCCAAAGATGTTTGCGGATTCCGCTCGAATCATCTCAAATCATCAACAACTTCCTCAGATATTGCAGCTCTTCCAGGAGACTTTCCTTTGTTGACACTGCCAGATCGAACAAATCTGTTGATTACATCTCTAATGTGAGCTTCTAACGATGTTTCTTGAATTATTAAATCACGGTATTTGGCCAGATATTTTTGCTTACAAGCGGTTACAGAAAACACACACTCTTCGTTTAAGAATGTCCCATTGCGATAACAATGAAAATGTCTTGTTCAACAGAATAAACCACTTTTACGATCTTCGCATCGAAGCACGAAAACAAAATTTTCGTACACAAGCACCAAAAGTTTTGAAAGCGACGGTTTTGTTGTTTTGAGCTTGGATCAACGAGAATTACTGTAATTCACACTTGGAAAACGTTAGAACAACAAAAGCGATGACTCTAAATGACAGGTTACAAATGACATTAATGACAAGTAAGAACTGTCATAATGGGACATAATTTCATCGAAGCGGGATTTTTAAATCCCTGGCCAACTACGCCCTTAGAATCGTTTATAAAAACCCTGTATAAAGCTCTAAATCGGGTGATTTGTGGTATGTGTGGATGTTGGGACGTTTTATTGATAGTAGTATCTCCACATATTTTTTTCCTGTGAGTTGCTAATAATTTTAGTTTGTTCTTTTTTCCTGTTATGCTGATATCTAAAAAAATTATTAAATTATTATTTGTTTCAATTTGTGAAACAGATATTCTAGTCTAATTTATTGATGTGTTCGAAAAATTCTTTTAATTTCTTTCTCCCTCTTCTTTCGAGACGCAGAAAATGTCATTTACATAACGTATCCAAATTATTATTTGCTCTTAGAATTCTCTGTTCTCTAGTGTTCGTTGTCCAAGTTTATCAGTTACCATTCCCGCCAATATTGGGGAAAGAGCTGATGTTCTTTAGAATTTCTTTGTTCCCTCTTGCTCTTTCCGCTCGATCGATGTGTTGTGTGGCTACTTCTACTGCCTGTCCTTGGGGATACTTGCGAATAAACTAACGATGTTATCAAGGATTTCATCCGAAACGGGTTGCTGCAAATAAAAATATTCCAAAAGTAATTGGAGAGAAAAAGCGTTTTTTATTTCCTTTAATTATTATTATGTCATGTAATTTCATTTTTTGTGTCTTTTCAATCATAACAATAATTTTTTTAAATTATTACCTATTTAATACATGTTTCCACTTTCTCAGGACTACTTAAAGCAGATGAAAGAAGTCAAACTTCAAGAAATGCAACCCACAACATTCACTGACTTGTCCTTCGTGTTACAGATGGATGCAAAAAATACGGATTTATTGAAATTTGTGGGAAAATTTCCTATCAATTACACCCATTGCATTCGGAAAAGCTCACAATGTTGGATGCTGTTTTTCCATATATCTGGGGTAGAATTGTTTATTGTTGTACACCAAACATCAAAACAGTGACTTTTAAGTTGCCAAGTAAAACATCTCTTATAATATTGTAAGGCCGGGAACTTGAAGCTTTGACAATTCGGATATGAATGCAATTCAGAATAGTTAGTACGTATTTTCCATAGAGATGTTATAATTCTGTCAGTCATGTTTTTTTCGTTGTTGAGAATTATTATTTACTTCTATTTGTTTAAATGTATTATACAGTTAATTTTTATTTTTGAATTATTTTAGAAAAAATGTTTTCCTATGTTTATATTTGTGTATCATTGGTCTTTAGCTGCTGTGAATTATCTTATTAAATTTCTTCAAAATAGTTTATTAAATTTTACAGATGTGCAAGTCCACATTAAATTTTATTGTTATTAAAGTGCAACAATAAAAGAGTGTAACTATGTAGGTATGTAACAAAACTATTCGGTTAGAAAGTTAAAAATACTGATTCAAAAAATGATATTTTGTACTGAAAACGATCGTAGAAAATAAGTATTACAGAAAAATATTGTGTTTATATAGTGACATCGTGCAAAATTTATTATATACATGTTACATAATTCAAGTGACAGTCTATTTCAGAAAGACAGACGAATATTTTTGACAATTTGTAGATGATAAAAATTACACTTATTTACAGTACATATTCATATTATAGTAAAATTTGCACATTTTTGTTTGTTACACCATTGTACAAGAATTTAAAACCCATTTATTTAAATGAATGTTACATCATCTATGCAAATTCGTTGTTTACTCGTTAGCTTGTTACTCATTTTAGTTCAGATGTAGTAGTTAAATATCATAAATTCATGACAGTATCTGCTAGAAGGGAAAAGGCAGGTGACAACATTTTTTGTAAATAGTTCTTAGTAATAAGTAAGGTCAGTACAAAACTTCAGTAACCATAGTTAACAATTGACTTAGTATCTTAGAGTTATCCTTAAAAGAATGAGCAATTGGGAATCAAGATATCAAAAACAGTACTTATTAGGTTAAAAATAGAGACAATTGATTAGCATAGATTATTTTATTTTGTACACTTGAAATAGGATTTACTTGGTAAAAGTTTGAAATGATCAAATATTTGATGAGGATGATCAAACAAATTTTAGTTAGCGATTTACAATGCACACGATATTTTTATAAATCTAAAATGTTGCACCAATCAGTCCAGTATACTTAATAAAATCAGCAATAGCAGACGACAGGTAGATGGCAACGGGAACCTAATTTTGCCTGTACAAACAGAAACATTGTATACAATACTTATAATATAAACGTGGAAAAGTATATCCACCTCTTAATTTTAAATCAGGTAAGCACCATCACCACTAAATTCTACTAATTGACTTACCACTATCCATGACACGGCAAATGAGCACCCCAACTCGCAGGTCCGGCCTTAACGGGGTTTGGGCCCTTGTCAATGGCTCGTCACCACATCATGAAAAACATTACTACTTGCTTATCTGTTTCATTATATTGTCATTGTGGTCACTCACCGGGGGGTCTCCACCCCCTAGCTCTTTCCTGATAAAGCTCCGATGTCATGACTGCCTACTTTCCTTGGTCAGGGCGTCGTCTTCGGCGCATCATACCCTCAGAATTTCCCGTAATCGTTTTGCACGGGTTAATATCCTACCCTATCCAGTCAACGCCACCGGCCGGTCAAAAACCAGAAGCTGCTGTGTCAGGCACCTGAGAGTCCTCTCAGTGCCCAGGTAAATACGAAGGTCTCTAGTCAACCAGAGATTTTACGCGTCCAGGTTTACCCAACCCGTCAGCCAACCGTACTAATGCCGCACCATTACTACCGACCAAGACTGTCGGCTCTTTCTCTAAAAACCTCCCTAAACCAAGGGCCTCGACCACATGAGAAATCAACACATCTGTGACTGATGGATGGTTATTTTATTATCGAGAACATTAGAACCAGTGAGTTTGTACATGGGTTACACTCACTCAATTTAGGAGTGTAGCTCAGCTTTTATTACTGTTTTAGAAGTTTCGAAAAAGGAGCGGAACAACAGATAAAGGCAAAGAATATGAAAATATGGTTCTAATCGCAGGGATTAAAAATTTTTAATCCTCCAACTCTCAAAATGAGTGAAAATTTCATTATTATTACAAAATTTGTAATTCATTTGACAGGATATAGAAAGACGCCTCACCATAACACCGTGAATAGCTTAGTTTTTCACAGCGAAGTAATTCCGAATCGGATTTAGAATAACAAAATGCCATTAAACAGTTTAATGAGTTAGTATATTAAGATATACTATTCTAATTTTTCCCACTGCTACTATAGACCTTTCGAAAGAGGACCGGAACGACGGAGAATGGTAAAGAATATGAGAATGCGGTTATTACTTGTGAATAAAGTAATCTCTCAAATAACAACCGACAACACGGCTAAAATTTTTTATCTCTCATCGAACCATGAAAAATTTGGAACAATTGACGGTTTGGTCGTCAACCAAACTTGAATTAGATAAAGGTATCCAAGTGAAAATATTGCAGTTGAAGCACAGTGAAAAAAATATAATGTCCACAGAACATTTAAACTCCAAAAAAGGAAATTTCAGTATAAGCAAATATTTTAAATGTTACCAAGAAATAGGGATATAAAGACGCGTCACCATAACACCGTGGATAACCCACCTTAGTTTTTCACAACAAAGTAATTCTGAACCGGATTTAGAATAAATGAATCAGTATTGAAAAAAATAGTATAGGAGAAATGGAATTAAACTGTTTTTTGTTCACTTGTTTTTTATTATACTATTCACATCGATACTCTTTGTTACTTTAGACTTTTCGAAAGAGGACTGGAACGACGGAGAATGGTAAAGAATATGCGAATGCGGTTATTACCTGTGAATAAAGTTATCTGTTATCTCTCAACTAACAACCGAAAACACGGTCAAAAATTTTTATTTCTCATCGAATGAAGAAGAATTTGGAAAAATTGACGGCTTGGTCATCAACCAAACTTGGATCAGATAAAGGTATCGAAGTGAAATCAGTGCAGTTGAAGCACAGTGAGAGAAAAATATTGTCTACAGAACATTTAAAATCCAAAAAAAGGAAATTTCAGCATAAGAAAATACTTTAAATCTTACCAAGAAATAAGGAGTACTATAGATATATTTATACTGTTCAACAATCAAACTGTTATTCGAGGCTGTATTAATCTTCATGAAAGGGTGAAAGAAAAAAAACAGTGTTGCCAAAAAAGGTAAGCAAACACTGGACATAATCCAATCGAAAGCATTTTTTTATCCTTTGATTTAAGTAGAGTTGGAAAAAATTATCGATTTGTCACCAACTGCATCAATGGGCAATGGGCATAGCATTAAGGACTTAACCGTAAAAGCATTTACTCAAATGTTATGGATAATGGACAAATGTCCACTGACACTTCATGAGTTTGAAAGCGTTGGGACAGCCATCCAGCTCTGTCAGGACAAAAAATTCATTTTAGTTAATGAAGGTAAGAATAACTGATTGAAGGAAAATTATTTCGTGTTTCGAAATTTGTCACACTTGTCACTAGGAATATGATATACGTGAAAAAGTAGTGAAACATTAAGTGTGAAGCAAAATTTTACAATATCTATCAAAAAAAAGAACTTGATATTATCCTCATTTTTGTAATGATGGATATTTAGAAATTATTACAACCGACAATCTGGTGGAAATGCTGAACGGTCCATGTAGATATGCGGAGAAAAAGAAACCTGAAAGCTATCTTTCACAAAATATAACTTTTTAGTAGTATCATGTACATAGAAAAAATCCAAGACAATGCGACACTTGTCTTAAACTGTGCAAATAATTTCGACAAATTTAAAGACAAACTTAACCAGTGTAAATTAATTGTCACCGACATCTTCTTCCAGAATAAGAATCATAATATATAAATATACTTAATATATCATAATATGAAAAAAAAGAACTTTTTATTATCATTACTTTTGTAATTATGACATTTTAGAAAATATTACTACCAATAATCTGGTGGAAATTCTAAACGGTCCATGTCGTATAGGTGGAGAAAAAGAAACCTGAACCTCACATTGAAAGCTATCTTTCTCGAAATATTATTTTTTAATAGTATCATGGACATAGGAAAAATCCAAGAAAATACGTCACTTCTCTTAAATTGTGCAAATAATTTCGACAAATTTAAAGACAAACTTAACCAGTGTAAATTAATTGTCACCGACATCTTCTTCCAGAATAAGAATCATAATGTATTTAAATATACTTAATATATAATAATATAAAAAAAAACAACCTGATATTATCATTACTTTTGTAATGATGAATTTTTAGAAAGTATTACTACCAATAGTCTGGTCGAAATTCTAAACGGTACATGTCGTATAGGTGGAAAAAAAGAAACCTGAACCTTACATTGAAAGCTATCTTTCTCGAAATATTATTATTTAGTAGTATCGTGTACATAGAAAAAATCCAAGAAAATACGACACTTGTCTTAAATTGTGCAAATAATTTAGACACATTGAAAAACAAACTGAGTAAGTGTAAATTAATTGCCAGAGATATATTTTTCCAGAATAAGAATCATAATATATAAAATATAATAATTTATCATAATATAAAAAAAATAACTTGATATTCTTATCATTACTTTTGTAATGATGAATTTTTAAAAAATATTACCACCAATAATCTGGTGGAAATTCTAAATGGTACATGTTGCATAGGTGGAGAAAAAGAAACCTGAACCTTACATTGAAAGCTATCTTTCTCGAAATATTATTATTTAGTAATATCGTGTACATAGAAAAAATCCAAGAAAATACGACACTTGTCTTAAATTGTGCAAATAATTTCGGCACATTAAAAAACAAACCGAGTAAGTGTAAATTAATTGCCAGAAATATCTTTTTTCAGAATAAGAATCATAATATATATAGAATATAATTTATCATAATATAAAAAAAATAACTTGATATTCTTATCATTACTTTTGTAATGATGAATTTTTAGAAAATATTACTACCAATAATCTGGTGGAAATTCTAAACGGTACATGTCTTATAGGTGGAGAAAAAGAAACAGTTGCTGAGCCTTACATTGAAGACTGTGTTTGTTAAAATATTATTTTTAGTAGTACCATGTACATAGAAAAAGTTCAAGAAAATGCGTCACTTGTCTTAAATTGTGCAAATAATTTCCACAAATTGAAAAACAAACTTGGAAAATGAAAACTAGTTGTTATCGACACCTTTTTCCAAAAAAGGAATCAAAACATTGATAATTTAAAAGCAATTAATTTCGTATGTTTAAATTCAATCGAAGTATACCCAAAGATAATTTTAATCTTGATGAATCCAACGTTGTTATCTTTTAGGTAATAGGAACTATAGTGATTCTGAATTACAACAAATTTGCAGTGAACACAGGCAAACAGTTCACTATTTTAAACCTAATGATAAAACTTAGAACGGATTAAAAGCAGAGGTGATCTTAATGATTTAGAGCGTTATAAATTGTCCGATAAATATTTAAACCATTCAAATAATGTAAATTTTGAATGGATTTTTAGAAATTATTACAACCGACAATCTGGTGGAAATGCTGAACGGTCAATGTAGGTATATAGGTGGAGAAAAAGAAACAGTTCCTTAACCCTACATTGAAGACTATACTTGTCAAAATATTATTTTTTAGTAGTACCAATAGTACCATGTACATAGAAAAAGTCCAAGAAAATGCGTCACTTGTCTTAAATTGTGCACATAATTTCCACAAATTGGAAAACAAACTTGGCAAATGAAAACTAGTTGCCATCAACACCTTTTTCCAAAAAAGGAATCAAAACTTTGATAATAATTTAAAAGCAATTAATTTCGTATGTTTAAATTCAATCGAAGTATCCGCAAAGATAATTTTAGTCTTGATAAATCCAACGTTGTTATCTTTTAGGTAATAGGAACTATAGTGATTCTGAATTACAACAAATTTGCGGTGAAAACACGGAAACAAAAACAGTTCACTATTTTAAACCTAATGATAAAAACTTAGAACGGATTAAAAGCAGAGGTGATCTTAATGATTCAGAGCGTTATAAATTGCTCGATAAATATTTAAACAATTCAAATAATGTAAATTTCGAATGGATTTTTAGAAAATATTACAACCAATAATCTGGTGGAAATGCTGAACGGTCCATGTCGTATAGGTGGAGAAAAAGAAACAGTTGCTGAACCTTACGTTGAAGACTATGTTTGTCAAAATATTATTTTTTAGTTGTACCATGTACATAGAAAACGTCCAAGAAAATGCGACACTTGTCTTAAATTGTGCAATTAATTTCCACAAATTGAAAAACAAACTTGAAAACTAGTTGCCATCGACACCTTTTACCAAAAAGGAATCAAAACTGTCATAATTTGAAAGCAATTAATTTCGTATGTTTAAATTCAATCGAAGTATACACAAAGATAATTTTAATCTTGATGAATCCAACGTTGTTATCTTTTAGGTAATAGGAACTATAGTGATTCTGAATTACAACAAACTTGCAGTGAACACACGCAAACAGTTCACTATTTTGAACCTAATGCTAAAAACTTACAACGGATTAAAAGCAGAGGTGATCTTAATGATTCAGAGCGTTATAAATCGGGTGGAAATGCTGAACGGTCCATGTATATAGGTGAAGAAGAAGAAACCTGAATCTTAGATTGAAAGTTGTCTTTCTCAAAATATTATTATTATTAGCATCACGTACAAAGAAAAAGTCCAAGAAAATACGAAACTTGTCTTAAATAATTATACAACGTAAATTTCGAATGGCTTAATAGCAAAGGTGATCTTAGTGATTCAGAGCGTTATAAATTTCTCAACAAATATTTTATTAACGAAAACGCATTTCGGTCTTCTCAGTTAGATAACAGTATTAATTTAATAACGGTAATCCGGAAATGGGTAAATCTGAGTTAATGAAAAGCTTCGAAAATCATTCTCGGCGCGAATAATGCAGCCATAATTCGTCCCAAAGAAGTTAATTCATTTTTTAATGACACCAAATTTGGGAACAGAAAAATGTCGGTACCTCAAAAATCTGGATCAAAGCTTTTTCGAGATATGTATGAAAAAAAAACGTGTTATTTAAGCATAGGCTGCGCTTGACGCAATTCTCAGTGAGAATTTAGATGCCGTTACAAAAATAATGCTCCACCCATCAAAAAAATGTTGTCCTCAATGGATCACCAGTTGAACACATCGAAGAATACAAAAATTTAGTTTGACTTCGCTTGCTGTAAATTAGTTTAGTGAAGACGAACAAAAAGATTACATTAGGAAACGTCTAACTTTTTCGTAGCACGTAGACAGACATACATATTAGAAATTCCGCCTCAAATATTTATGACCACAGAAGCATTTCGTCAAAATAAATACAAATGACCTATATGAATATTTTATCGAAGAAAAATTTAATAATTCTTACAAAGGTAATTCCCAAATGGAAAGCTTCATTCGTGAAGAAAACCGACAAAAAAAGAAGTGTGTTTCCTGAAGAAACTTTCCAGCGATTAAACATCGACTGCGAAAAGCACATAAAAAAGCTTTGCAATCTTGTAAAAGTTGCTACATATTTTCAAAACATTTTGATAATGTTGAAATGTTGTTCTTAAATAAAGTTTTATTTAAGAACAAATTTTACCCCAAAAGTGTAAGTATAAATATCGTGTCCCACCCAACTCAGCTTTAAACAAGCTTAAGTGAAATTTATAAGACGGTTAAATTGTATTTGTAATTTGTTCTGGAGTAAGAGCCTTATACCTACTTTAGCAAATCCCTAATCTGTCGGAAAATGTTTGTGAAAGAAAATAAAGCAAAATTAATCCCCAAAAATATTAAAATAAAAATTATTTTCATAAATTACTTCTAAAAATGGAGCCCGATATAAAATGCCTTAATAATAAAGCATGCTTTATGTTTTGAAATAATTCAGCTTTTATTTATAGAAAGTTTGATAAACCCGTTGAACACGCGATTCGGTCGTAACCGTAACAATGTTCCGTAATTATTCGACGACGGCAGAGGACGGCGACGTTTTCGAAAAGCCCGAACCTCTCGAGACCGCCTTGCGGTGTCTTTCGCTTTGATGAAGTTATTGTCACTTCCAAACATCCCGCTTTCTTATTCCCAAAACCGTGAAAATATTCCGAGGCTTCAATTATGACGCCTCGTGTTAACAAGCAAATTCCTGGGCAATTTAAACTTTGACTCAAAATAACTGTCGGCCATTCTCCTAAACTTAATAACGGCCTCGGTGGTAACGGCGCGACTTTCTCGCCATCCTTTTGTTATTTTCCATTATTAAAGCTTGAGGGAAATTCGTATCAATTATATTCGTTTCGGAGGAGAGATTGCGATAATTAGGAAAGGCGAGATAGGGCTCGATTTTGATTTAAAAACCCGACCTTCACCTTTTCACCCCATTGCACTTGCGTTTAATGAGAAATATTCAAGTAACAGTTTTGCCTTAATGAAGCCACATGTCGCCGTCATAATTTATACTCAGCGAAGGTTTCTAGCTTCTACCAAACTACAACTTCTGCTTCTGGTATTTTAATTGATTCATTTCAGGATTTTTATATTTAAATTCTTACTAAAAAATTTGCAAAATGAAGATTTCAGTGTAAGAAATCTATTTTCCTCTTCTGACACGCATCAAACAATATTTGACTCCACACGTGCACAGAATTGTCTTGACAATATATTTGTTACTGGAAATTTTAATAATTCAGTATACTGATGAAAACACAAAAACCGGTAAATAACAGAATAAAAGGGTCAACAATGCTGAAAATATAACCAAATTTAATAACTGTCTGCAAGTCCAATCCTGGGATAGGCTAAATACTTGTGCAAATGCCCACAAAAAATCAACAGATCTGGATAGCCCTTGACTTAACCCAGCTGATAATGAAAACATTTACAACTCCAAAAAAAATCATAACAAAAAGCTTATGCAAGCTAAAACAGGTTCCAATAATAAAGTCCAAACTGTGTGGAAAATAATCAAATTAGAAACAGGAAAAGTAGTAGACAAATTCCAACTCCTTCAAGCAATAACACAAACGCTTTTAACATTTCCTTCAGTAATTACGCATAAGAAATTGATGATGTACAGATCATAATAAATAGTCTACATTCTAAGAGAACTGAAGACGTATACTATATTAACACTTTTCTCTTAAAACATTGTTCCTCATATATTATAAATCCATTAACTGAAATTCTGAATGATTGTTTAGTACAAGGGATTTTTCCAAAAATTTTAAAAAGACTACAAGAGTAAGGCCGCTCTATATAAAAGGGAATCGGAATGGATTTAGAAACTATCGGCAAATTTCTATTCTTCCAATAACGTCAAAAATTCTAGAATATGCCATCTGTATTCTCATTTAAAAACTTGAATATAACGGACTCAAAGGGAGCGTTGTTAGTATCTCTCAATACATAGAGGAGTCTTCCCTCAAGCATCTATATTAGGGCCACTACTCTTACTCTTCCTAATTTATATTAATGTATACAGACAACTTTTGCCATCATTGATGAAACCCTGGATGACTATAAAGTCAATGTTTTTCAAACCTTGGACAAATCCAGGGATTGGTTTGACAGTATTCGTAAATCTGATTATCCGTTAGTGAAAGAAGATCCTCAGCACCGTAGTTTATCTATTGATCTACAGATAATCAGCGATTCACACAATCATTTATGGGGAACCATAATAACTATGCTAATAATTTGCGTAGGGCTGATTTTGAAAATTTGTATCAGTCAATATCATTGATTAATTGGGATGATTTAAACTACATATATGATGCCAATAAAGCGGTAAATTTTTTTACCAGAAATTGTATGAAGTTCTAGACGCTATCGTGCCAAAAACCCCTATCAACTCATCCAAATATACAATTTGGTTCACTAAGGACATTATTAACAACATAAAAGAAAAGAAGAAGTACTTGAAATTGTTTCACAGGAGTAAACTCGATTTATATATGGACAAGGTTAAAACCCTTCGTGGAATTAGTATTCGTCAGCAGCACACCAAATCTTGAAAATCTGCAAAATCTACAAAATTTGGAATTATGTGGTGCAAAATCATATAAAGTTGAAGGTAATGCCACAGCACACTGTTTTATGAAAGGCAGATCAACCGCTACAAACTTATGTCAATTTATCCACTGTGTCGATTGCTTTATATAATAAAAATCAAGTTGACATCGTGTATGTTTATTTAACTAAAGCATTTGATCGGATCAACCATAGAAATTTCTTTGAAAAATCGAAATATTTTGGGCTGTGTCAGAACATCGTGAACTTGTTTATATCTTTGATATAAACGTCAGTACGTAGAGTATCAAGTACTGTATATGAAGTACACTCGGAAGTTACGCAAGGTTCGAATTTAGGACCAATGTTATTTCTATATATAGCAAAGTCTTCGTTGTAAAACTTATTTATACAAGGAATATTTGAAACTTGCTTATGTAATACGAAAGTAGCAATGATACAAGAAGACATGGTATGATATTACGCATTTTGTGAAGTGTCCTGTGGTAGAATAAAAAACAAAGTTATTAATAGATACACCATAAATGGAAAAGGGCTCGAAAATTGTAAACAGTTTAAATACTTATAGAAATTATTGTGCCTCAAGCTGAATATCTTATTAATATAAGCTTTTAGGTTCTATTAGGAACACGTCAGGATTTATGAGGTTCCAGAATCAGTAACCTTTTCTTTCGCAAAGTCCGTATATACACAGTGTCTAGTTGAACGCGTTTAGATAATGCACCATTTAGAAATGACTGATATTCTACCAGATTAGACAATGCGGACCTTTTAACATAAAAGCTATGCTGCTGACTAGAGATGATCGAAAATGATGCCCACTGCATTTGAAAAATAAAAATGACGTAACTGTTCTCCCACAGTTTAGGACAAATACCTTTATCCAATGATGCCATAAGTAATACCAATAAAGGTAGACAAATAGAACGGATACAGCTCTTTAAAACTACTACGCTTGGCACCACATCGGGACGAAGATTACATGACGACTTTCAGTTACAAATATGACGAAAAATATCTGAAAGAGTAACGTTTAAACCAACTATCATATCATCAATTTCATATACCGAGGAAAAATACTATCGAAAATACTAACTATTTCATCCCCACCTTTCCCAGAGTACTGACAAGGATCATTTCAGAAGGAATACTAGCTTCCTTAACGTTAATTATGTATGAAGCATAGAGTTTATCATTTAAATCATTACATCTACATCTCAAAGATTTAAAAAATAAATAGTCATCAAGCCTGCCAGATATTTTGTAATTTAAATGTGCTAATTTCTTCGTCCAATAGAGATCCTAAAGTTGTTTGTTATATCATACGGTGTACTTACGCACATTATGCTTAACAGTTTTGTATGTAGTGTAACTGTCAAAACCATCAAAGGTTATAGCATAAAAAAGTGCAACCAATTCATACAAGTCATTACCAACCAAATAAGAATCCCAACATATTGAAGCATAATTTTCATATAGTATAGTTTTCTTTAACAAAATCATAAGAACGAGTTTATGCACAACGCTTTAACAGAAAAAGTACTCCAAGAGCTGGGAGAATCATGAATACTGTTACGAAATAAACCCATACTCCGCCCCGCTATGGGTTCTAGTATGTGCGGCGATGATGACTCATTGTCGGTGACGGTGGGCGCAGAAGAGCCTGGAAGTGGATGTCGCGACGACTGTTCGAGAACAAGCCTACAAGTGGTGAAAGAGATCTTCGAGAAGGACCGCACGGCTGTTTAAATGGGAACCACCGTCGGGAGCAGTTAATGAAGTCTAGATAACGGGAGTAGACTAGTCAAATCCATTCCAGTCGGAATTATTTTGTACATAATCCCTGTGTAATAAGTGGTGTAAATTCGAATTCCTAAGAAATAAATCGATTTTTAATCACCGATCAACTTAACAACACTTTGGGATCTAAGGAGGGAGACTTCAATATTGTTAATGTTCGAAAAAATAAGATAAAAAAAGGAGCAAGTGGATCTGATAACATTATGCAACCTCTGTGATACAGACAATTGAAGTACCTCATTACCACCCTTTACAAAATTCGGCAACTTAAAATCACTAGCGATAACATAAGAAGAATCTGAAAACCATTCAAAAATTGATTCCAAATCAAAATAAAGATCGTCATGAATATTTATAGCAGAAGCGGGTGGAATATACACACCACCAACAATTAGGTCTAAGCCGTTGTATCTTAAGTGTACAAACATACCTTCAACAGATTGACCGCGCAAAACAACATGAGAATACAAGTCATTTTTTACTGTTACCAGTACTCCACCCCATGATATTTAGCTGTAAGATCACCATCACTCTCAATCAAAAAGATTGTAGTTATTTAAACACAATCAACCACTAGAAATAAGTAGCACTAGACAACCAAGATTCTGTAATAATAAGAACATCATAAACACCAGAATTGATCTTAAAAAAAATCCTCTAACTAGACCCTAAGATCCCAACATTCTGGCCGACAGTGTCAGGTTTAAGTATAAGAGCCAATATCAATGACAATATATTCATAACTCGATTAATATCATCATCGATTTTTGATCAATCGATGATTTAAGTACATTTTGGAATTTTATAATAATTGAACTATAGCGTTTCCTATCCTACTACATTATTTTCTACCTCAGTTAGTCTGTCACTGATGTTTTTAAACTGATTATCAATAGTTCTCTTAATTTCTTGTTTCATAATGGTTAATTGTTTCTTGACAAGAGAAAAAGAAGAACATTTGGATTTCATCCACGGAGATTTTTTATTAATGATTTTGGAAATTTCGCCCTCACCAAATCTTAAACATTTAATATGTGATTATTTTCAACATGTTCCACACTGAGCGGAGGGTATCATGGGCGTAATAGCACCCTCACAATTCATACAAATGACAGTCATTATCAAAAACGGGATAACCTGGGATACAATTCTTCGCACCTACGGGGTCCGTCGTGGTGACTAACAGCAAGACATACAAACTGGACCACGGAAGGGTTTATTAAAGGAGACACAGGATACACAAATTAAGGTTGTGTGGAAAAACCATTTGAATTAACAGCGATAATTCTTATCTCGTAGGCTGATAAGATCGACCTATTGGTAGAAAATTTAAGAATAATAAAAACTACTTTCATAGTTATATAAATATTTCTCGTAGTAGTTATTTATTTTTGTCAGGATAGGCAAAAACTCTTTATCGTATTAGTCCCTAGAACTATATACAAAATATTTCTGACCATAGTGCCCAACTAACCCTTGTCTCTCAGGCAGTTTGTGCGCAACTGTTCTGTGGAATTAGCACCACCTGCAGATTAAGTCAGCTTTCAAAAAAAAAACGCCGGACAGACAGACAAAGGGTTCAAACTTATAACACCCCTCTTTTTGGATCGGGGGTTAAAAAAATGTCAAATGTCACGCGATACACTGAGATGTGTTCGCACAAAACAATCATAACATATTTAAACAACCAAAAGAAACATGAATTAAAGCACAGTATTTACCTTAAATATAAAAAAACTAATTTAAAGGTCTAAAACTGTAATCAAAGCAGACGCATAACAGCGTGTAACACTCCGCAAATTAGTACAGGTAAAATTCACGCCATTATTCATATCATTTTGGAATGAGTAAACTTTCATGTTGAGTGTGCAGGAACTTTACAGTTCTTATTAAAAAGTAACTAGCGTTGACATTTGTGGAAAATTTTCGTACGTTCGAAGAAATATGGTTTTAGTTTTTGGCAAGAATTGTAACGGTGCCACATTTTCTATATTCGAAACAGCTAACTCTGAAATACTACGGTTCCTGTGAAAAAGTCCTGAACATATTTTCTCTGCCTGAAGGGACTCAAATAATTGCTCGGTATTGCGGTAATACTTTAGTTGAATTACTCAAAACAAAATCAATATAAGCGCTAAAATAAATAATGACGATGCAGTCGAGTTTTCAAGTTAAATAACCAGTTTTCTGATGTGTTGACAATATATATTTTCGTTAAATATGAATTGATGGAACAATGGCAATATTTTTAAAAATGAATTCCTAATTGAGAAACCTACCTATACTAAAAGACACTTTGTAACTGGTGAATGAGGCAGTAAGTTCACTTTTTATTGGAAATGGTTATTTCAAGCTTCAGATCGATATTTCTTGTATTTCAAATTTTCCGTACACATTGTAAGACAGATGCCAAAACAGATACAGTTACTTCAAACAGTGTATTGCTGTAAAGTCAGAATACTATATAATCACGGGACCTTAACGTTTATCGCATTTTCGAGACAAAGTGTTACGATAACTCTATTGTTGGGCACTCATTTGAGCAAATTGTTTCTATTCAGTTTGAAAGCACACTGTATGCTGCTTGCATGCACTCCATTTTACGCTAAATTTATTACTTATTATTCTATGTTCAAATTAACAAGCTCAAAACAAACACGAGCAAGTAAACAAACAATGAAATATCTTTAACCAACGATTCATAATTAGATCTTCATCATGACCTTTTTTGTTTCTAAAATGTGCAAAATGCGTTAATTTACTGATGTTTTATTTTCTGTAATCACAGACTAAATACATCACAGATATTGCGAATCGTCGAAACTTTTCCACAAGAACAGATTTTTTCAAAAGTCATCCAATTACATTTGTCTCAATCAAGAAGCAACTAAGCATATTCCTCATTCCATTCATTGCTCGTGTGTTTAATTAAACGGTTTTTCTCTAAAAAGTGAAACGTCAGGATAGTAATTTATATCCAGCGTAACGTTTTTAATTTGACGTAACGACCATTAATGCAGCATCCAAACAGGAGCTAGTCGATATCAATTTGCTAAATTGAGACGAATCACCGCCGTTGCAGCAAACCCTCCAGAGGACGAGAGATATATTAAGAAGCAACACTAACTCGATGCTAATATAGTAGCCGCCAGTTTCCATTAGTTCTGTCACGAAGAGAGCAAAAATCAGTCAACTAAAAGCACGCAAACACTTGCGTTTAGTTTATTTAGAAGATACAAATACCTTTTTCGATGTTTCTACTCAGGTGTGTTTAGAGGTAAGTGTACATGGGCTGAAAAGGGTGTTTTAGATTTTTTTTTTCTACAAACTAACCCATCTAATTTTGATAATTACGAAAACGAAATCGTAGACATGACGGCTGCAAGCAGTTTAATTAGTTGAAAGTGAGGCTTTTAATACATTACATGTGGCTGTTTTGTCAGTAGCATTATAAGTTGCGTGCGTTGGCATACAACAATACTAAGTCCCACTAACGTCGTTATTAATCTGCAGTGTTTATTTTGTGTAAAAATTTCACTAAAAAATAATGGATAAACGCGACACATCTGCCGAAACTCATAAATAACAAAAATAAATTTCTACTTCATAATTGAAATATTTTATTCATCGAATTTTAAAAAAGTTATTCTCGTATTAAGCTGCCACCATTCCAAAATTGCATTGTGCTAATGAAATGAATAAAATATTTATATGAACCATATATATTTCAGTTCGTATTTTGAAAAATTGGTCAGAGGTTATTTCGATAGCACTGCGCTAACCCCTGAAATACATTCCAGTAAATCCGGCTTCTTTGAAAGATTGTAAAGTTTTATTTTACGAAATTTTGTTTTTGATAACCTAAAAAAAAATTGGCAAATATGATTGTTATATTTTGTTGTTGTGGTCGAGTTGGGCTCTGCACGTTCGCCGCCCTTAGCCTCAACGCATGTACCATCAGCGTCGCCGCCTCTCCAGAATCCGTAGCAGCTCTCTTTAGCGAGGAGCCGCCGCCAAGGAAGTTCTTTTGTAGCTAATTATTTAGATTTGTAACTAATAGTACGAAACAAAAGCCGAATATTTTCGTTAGTTTTAACACGAGTATCTTCTGTGGGTTTCGTCGCACTTTTCCTAAAGAGGTTTCTGCAGCGAAAAATTTTTTGCAAGACTCAAAACATTTAATCTACCGTGCGCAAAACTTTACAATTCCAAATGGAAGATAAATGAGACAAGTCAAATTTTGTCCCAATATTTATTTAGCTGATGTGCCACTTAAAAAAATTATGCAATGCAGAAAAGACAACTTGTAATTTGTTTTGTTTGTGATTAATTATTTCAAATGTTGTCACGCCACTGTTCTTAAATACTCGTATCTTGCGGTGCCCCAGTTGTGAAAGCGTTCTATGAGAAAGACCTCAAAATGGAAAAGCCTTGTAGCTACGAAAGAAACGGACGAAATATTTGATAATTATTCTAATATTTTCGATGACAAATTACCATCGTTTGTGTTCCGCGCGCTTCTTATATCCAGCTAGAGGCAATTAAAGGATTTAATAGTTTTGCCTGCAGAAGTTTCAAGTTGGCGAGATGCGTCACGGAAAATAAATAGAAAACCAACGACAATTGCATTATCGCTAAAAACATAAATCACTCTGCCAGTTTCAAAGGAAGAGTTCGCAAAAATATTAAAAAATTTGACAACATTTGTTTTATATAGTTTAAACAGTGAAAAATAAAATGTTCTGCAGTAAAAACATGCAGATGTGAGCCACAGGACTAAACTAACCACAATGAGGAGTGTTCAATTCTAGTAATTCAGTAAAAGTTACTGAGAAACAAAATGTTTGCAACTGCAATTTTCATTACTTTGTTCAGAACACTCTGTGGCCTGATAAAAAAAGAATAGAAGAATGTTGAATATCAAATAGGGAGTCACGCAAGAGGATGTTTATCGGAAAAATGGCATTTTACCTTTGACAAGACTTCGTGTGTGAACTGACAAAAAGTGTTAATATTAAATGGTCAACATCGCAAAAAACGTGAAAATGCTAAAAATTTAGGTAACCAAGAATGTTTATCAAATTTTATACCACAACTTTACGACAATGAAACGGTAGTTTATTTTCAACAAGACGGAGCTACAGCGCATTCGGCTAGGACCACAATGCCAATATTACGTGAATTTTTGAACAAAGGATTTTTCGTCAAAATACAGAGAATATGTAGCGCCTGAGATCTTGTGATCTTACTCCTGTAGAATTTTTTGTCCCTATAAGAACACTATTTATCGGATATATACTGCTAGAGTTCAATCTTATTAAAAAGTGACATTTTTAACATTTAGTGTGATTTAATCACCGATATGATAAATCCTTTTCAATGACGACTCGATTACAAATTAAATATGTGTCTTGCCCGTGTTTGATAAAAATTCAAGATGTAGCAACTTAGTTTCTGTATGACAAGAATATGTTAATCAGCAATTATCTTAATATGTTCGATAACAAATTTCGTGGTTTGTGTTCTCCTCGCATCTCCAGGATTGTACAAAATACAGTTGAAGTTTATAATAGTTTTGTCCGTAGAAGTTTGAAGTTGGCGAGGTGCGCCATTTAAAGTTAAAGAGAGAATCCTGTCTCCAAGGGGAAGTGGATTCCGGCTTAAAAGATAGATGGATTAGTTTTGCCATTTCAAAACAAGAGTAATTAAAAATATTGAATAGTTGACATAATTCCATAAATATGGCACAATACTAAAAAGTTGGTCGAAGGTTATTTCGATAGAACTTCCCTCCCCCCCAAAGTACAATAAAACCTATCCAGCTACCGGAAAGAATATATCACCTCAAAGCACAAGGAAACAGGGGACCTATTTTTTTTTACTCTAGCGGTCATGAAACGTCTAGCTCTACCACATTACCAGAACATGTGACATATATGTAAAGAAATTGTTACCGCCAATTTTACGCCTCGTTTCGCAGTATGCGGTGTAGTGAAGCTTGTCCCAACCAATTTTTCAAGGGTTGTGAGCCAATTAATTTAAAAAAATCGTTCCTTCTATCGAACACGTCAATTATGCAAATACCTTTAAACGCATACTTAAAAATCCATTACTTTCGAAACCGATGCACGATAAAGTTCAAGTTCAAAAACCTTTGTTAATACTGAAGTCGGTATCGAAACTTCCTTTGCAACCCTATTTTCATAAAGAATTTGAAAAATCCGCCCTATGCCATTAATCTGGAGCTATCGCGCGTGGAGACTACGCCATTTCTAAGTATTTACAGCGCTATAGGGAATTTAGAAAAAATGCAAATAAAAGTGCCTCTAGGACGAGTAGAGGCCTGTATGCGTAGAGCGGTTAAGGGGTGACGATGCAAATTCCCGAAGGAAAGTATGTTATCGCCGACATCGTAATCGAAAGCTTACACAGTAATTACATTTCACACCCTCTCGAAACTAAATCCATTTAGCGTGTTTTATGGCATCTAACAAGCTTGTTATCTGGTGAAAGTCAAGCATGCTGCCACTCCGACATTATTGATGATTATTACGTTAATTTCTTATTTTATTTCACCGGCGCCGCCCTCGAACCGTCTTTTGGATGGACTCTAAACGTTTTACGAGCGCCATATGTTACGCCCTAACGTGCTCTTTTTTACATAATTCCCAAACGGGCTTCCGAGTTAAGCTATGGATCCGTATAACTAGAAAATGACAGTTTTTTCCTTTCTTTCGAAGGATTGCTGATATTACTCGCGTAAAATAGAAAGTCGTGTTGAGGTCCATGGTCTACATAGTAAATATGTTGCAATGTCTATGTAGTAAATTTTATAATAATAGGGAAAATGTCCATTTTGGGCATCCACCAGAACGATTTTGAAAAGAAAATAACTCATCAACTAAAACACTCCCTTTTTGTTAACGTTAATGAATCTTTAATGGTTGTTTAGAGTAAATGTGCCTGTAACATGAAATCAAGAGAGAGACTATTTTCCCTAGGCTGAGAATCAAATATGATTGGGAGGCAGAAGTGGCGAATCCTGGAATAGTAGTAGAGAAATCGTCAGAACATTTAAATATATCTACAACTAAATTTCAGTTTAGTCTTTCTACAAAGATGAAAATAACTTGCCCCTATGAAAAAGTTGTTACTCCAACTTTTCCTGTGTTTAAATATGTATTAATAAAACCTTTCAAAGTGTGTTTTCTAAAATCCCTTTAAAACACATTCGCTACACGAACGCCGAAACCTGGCATATTTACTCAAGATTTTAAAGTTGAAACCATCAATTCTTAAGTATTTTTAAGATATAACAGAATTTGCCAGCAGATAATCAATGCGGTATAAACAGATAACTGCTATGGTAGAAAAGACCGAGCACCGATAAAGACGAACAGCTACCGAAAAACGAAAAAGCAAACAAAACAATGATACTGTTAAGTCAGGGGCGTCGTTATGGGAGAATGAGAGGGTAGTGTCACACCACAAGTCTTGCGAGTTATTTCGTTTCCATCAATTAACATTAACAAATGGAATAAACTAATAATCAGGCTGTTACAAATAAGCGAAGACAGTTTACCATAAATCCATTTGATCGGGGCACATAACTCACACTCTTTCGCTGCTTTCACTAACCCTGGTTCCGTTGAACGTTTTACCTTACACACTTGTTCAACGCACTTAACTTTTTGACGGAAATGTAGCAAAATATTTGCATATTCTACGAATTTCTCATGTTTGAAGATTTTTATATAAATATTTGTTGTAAAACAAACGTAAACTCATACATTACTTTCAACACAAATTATTAACAAACATATACTCTCTGGAAGATAAAAGTCGTTCGCGGAAACCCTTTTAACGAGCCGACCAAACTGTATAATGCTATAAAAAAAATAAAAAATAAAAAATAAAACACTAGTCAGTCCTGGAAGTTTTTCAAGGAGCAGAACCTGGCGATGCTTAACTAGAAAAACAAAACCGAAAACGGCTGTTTCACGTTAGTACTAAAATGCATTGCAAGAACTTTCGAGATACTTTCATCGAGCGAAACGAGCTCCAGTGTGCTACTGCTAAAACCGGGTTGCCCTTGAAATTCTATCTACGAACGAAACGAGTTGTATTCTACAAAACTGCGAACCAAAGCCCAGTGGCGGCTCGTGACCTTTTTAAATACCGTTTTGTCATTAACACTTTTTTTAATTAATAAATGGAGGGTGGCTCCGCTAAATTTTTCACTAGAATTTTATGTTGTAAGACAGAGGACGATTTTTTATTAAATATTCAACTGAGGCCGTTATTTTTATTTAAAATTGAATTACAGCTAGCGGTCACTGTTCAAACAGGACCGCTAGCTCATAGCTCATAGAGTCAAACATAGCGACTAGAGGCGCGGTTTCCATGGCAACGGTGCAAACAAAACGCCTAAATGAGTCATGATTTGGTCTCGGTCTCCCCTTACAACATTTGTAGATGTAAGTTTTGATACATTTGATACAAATGAAACGAGATAAATAAATTAGTTTTGATAGTTACGTTATGACTAAAGACGGGCAAAATTAGTTGGCGCGCTCGGAAAGTTCTCCCACTACTCATTATCATTGCCAGTCCAGGGTCGCGCGACCGAGCATGCAGGGATGGACGAAGCGAAACCACGTGACTAATGAGCCCGAACACATCTTCGATCCGTATTTATAATGAGTCCAAACAGACGAATGTATATTATATATACATATGTAGAGTAGAAAAAAAATGTGCGAAAATTTAATGACCAAATAATAAGTATAATGAAAAATTAAGAAATTTCGAAAGTAGTAACAAAAAACTAATTTCATTTAGTAATAAAGATTCGAAAAAGTTTATAATCATTTTGATATTTAACATCTTTTAGTCTAGAGACAATCAACCCAATACTTAAAAAAAATATAATTTATCTGCTTCATTTAATTACTGTGCAACTATTCATTAAGTTACAATAGCTAACTAGCTAGTTAGTGGTTCTTTTCCGCTTTTTCAACTTACATAAATATTCATATGAGCAGCGCTTACCCAATTATCATGATGAACGAGTAAAGTTCTACTCTGTCGTTTCTGTTTGTGGGCAACAGTTTAGAACTGTGATGACGTTCAATTAAGATATATAGTTCAAGTTTGTGTCGGTGCAAGATAACAAATTATTTGCGGTGTTTTTATTAAACTCAGTTATATACTTTTAACAGAAAACACATTTAACAAAACGATAAAACAATAAAGTATCCTCTGTTATCTTTGAAACACGTCCATCATATATATGACGCGCATTTACAACTAGTCAAGCCCATGTAATAGGAGCTTTCACAAAATATTGCCGCCTGTTTTTTCATCCATGAAGCAGAACAGTATGTAGCAAAATTCGTCAATTTTGTTGTAAAATTGAACAGACTGTTAAATTATCGCGACCAAGCGTACATGTGACCATATGTATTGTATAGTAAAGTATTTGAGTTATAAAACCCTTTTACTTCCCATTTGATGGGAGATGTATTGTGAATGTGAATCAATACACAAAATTTCAAGATTTTTCCATTCCTTCTCCAAATTTAATAATAACTTTCAAAACGTGATTACGGGTGATATCGATCAATCCGATCGATATTACTCTACGTGAGACTTCGATTACTAAAATATGCTTTTCTTTCTTTTTTCTTTTTTGTTACTTCCAAGAAAATACGTTCAACGCACCAAGGTTATCAATACTCAGAATAACGAGAAATTTATGGGGCAGACGCTACTGATGACGAAGATAAAACATTAAAACTAAAAGTAAGCCAGGAAAAAATCGGTGATGTAGTTTCTCTGCCAAAGTTGCAAACAGGACAAACAGAAAATAGAAGAATTTAACACTCAAAACCAGTCACAGTGTAAGAACAAAAAATATCGGATTGTTTGGAACCCACGCGGGTAAAGTGTTTCTAAAGATATTTGGAAACAGAGTTAATCACATTATTAGTGTCATTAGTCCCTGGTCAACCTTCAACTGCCTGCTATTGAGCTTAGTCCCCATAAAAGCATCCGAATAATCTGCTTTTTCCGAAAAAAAAATCCATTTCTCCCAAGAAAAAATACAAACTGGAAGTAATCACTCAACTTATCACTTAAACGGCTGTTTTACCCTTCTTGCCCAAAGTTGTACGACATCCGTTGCATAACATATATAATCTGCGAGATAAATCATAAAAATTTATGCTCACACTCAGCCAGACGAACAGATAATCGAAAAATGCATTTGCAAATTCTACCACTCGTGAAATACCAAAACGACCATTAAACTATGCACGAGTTGAAGCAACCCTATCATAACTCTCTTAGCCACCGATCGGAAAGTAAAAATGAACTCCTAAGAGCTCAGTTTTTGTCGCTTCAGGGAGTAGTGCACAACCTCTCCGAAATGCTTAAAATATAGGTTAGGTACACCTATTCACAAGTGTTCGTTATTAATGTCAGCTTAATGACCTTGACAAAAGAAAAGCCCTCTAGCCCCTGGCACTTGATTAATATTACCCTACCGCACGCCTGCGAAACTATTTCGAAATTAGTAGTGAACCGTCTAGAGGCTGTTAACACGCAATAGTGTTGTTTGACAACACAAAAACCCGGCACATTTCTAAACGGTCCCTCATTAAATTTCCGGCCGAACAATACGGCGCCGTGACGCATAATTAATAACGCGTCATTGCGGCGGGTCGAGGGTTGCCCGGCCCCCGGAGTGCCATCCGTTACCGATTTGCTCGCCGCGAAGAAACCGTTCCGACACCCCGTAATTGATGACGCCATATTTACCGTTGCCATCGACGCACTTATGTTCTAAGATGTCCGCCGAGTGTAAATATTCTTGGGACTGGCGTTTAAACAGTGCCAAAGTTCCGACGGGTATAAAAGCTTGTTGAGGCGTGTCTGGAGGTTAAGGTTGTTGTTTTCATTTTCTAAACATGAACTTGTGACTTTTTTAAACAAGAGGCAGCTTTAGTTGTCTTTTTTCGACAGCGGAATGTTATTACTGGGTCTCTTCATATCTAAAGCTTTTGAGATTACAACTTTTATTTTTATTTTGATTTAAAGTTGTTCGTTTGGCATATTTTTATTAATTGTCTGAAATTAATACAGAAAAATTGTGTCCTTTTAACTTATGTTCGAAGTTTATTGATACTTGTGTGAGAGCTAAAAGATAATTGTGGACTGTAACAATAAAATCTAATTTAGCAAAATAGATTACCATGTCACAGAAACAAAAAAAAAATGGTCTGATGGTACTACAACCGGAATTCCCTTGGTCCGTAAGTACAACAAATTTTGTTAGCACTTAGTCACACATTAACCAAAAGAACCTTTTTCGTTTATCAGAATCATGCTGCTTACAATGTGGTTCCAACAAAATGGGGCACGTCCTCATTTTAGCATGGAAGTGAGTGAGTTTCTTGACAACATTTGACTTTGATTTTTTTTAATCTAAGGTCTACATTAACAGACCACACAATTTGGAAAACGAATAGAAAGGGGTAATTTCACCTCAGATAGCATTAAATGGACAATACAAAGTGTTTACACATGCTGAGATCCCAAACAACAAGTTGAGGTTGCATTTCAAAAAACTTGCTGCCAATGTACAAAAACGGTTTGTTACAAAAATTAGGTTTGTACCAAGATATCAGTATACATCAAAACTTCATTCGCATTTTTTTAATATTATGTGCACAGGTGATAGCTTATCTTGCCCCCGTAACCCGTTTTATTCCCTAACGTTATTTTAAGATATAGCTGATATATTATTCACTAATTTCAAATTTCCTATATTAAACTTATATTGATTATACTATTATATTCTGGTGCAGTGTTTAAATTTAGAAATACATATTTAAGATCAATACTTCATGCAATATTTATTTTTAATATCTAGAACGAAGAGGAAATTTGTATTTACTATTTTACTGACATTTTAAAAGCATCAATTTTTTTAAAGCTATCCATTTATTAGTAATTTATTGTGTCCTCCACTTTATGAACTGGGCTTATATAATTTTATTAAATTCAAGCTATTTTATAAATTTATTTACATATTTTATATTATTAATTTTATTTATATTGATTCAAACATACTAACCTGTAAATGAAGTTTGTTGAATAACAAACTTTAATTATTATTATTATTATAGGATACTAGATAGACCTAAATTGGATTTTTAAAAAAGTTCAGTATCTTCAAAATAAGTTTAAATTTGAAGGATTTTGAAACTTATATCAAGATGTTTAGTGATAAAAGTTGCAAGAAAAGATCGTTTATTATAATTAAGAAATTCAAATTTGTATTTTTTAAGATGAAACATCATAATTCTTGATACAATTATAATCTAATTAGTAACATTGAGTTTGGTCACTAATAAAGTTAATAAAGACATGAAATTTTTAAACGATTGAAACTTATTCACAAATTCAGTTAACAATCCGTCGTAGCAAAAGTATTACAGGTACCCTCTTAAAAAGAGGTCTAAAAATAACATTTATATCTTATCAATACACACAAGTATTTTTGTATATCAGGTTTGAAAAAGATAAGTCAATAAACTTATCGTCACATATTCTAACCGGAATGTTCTACTACTACATCGAACCACCGTAAAAATATAATTATTATAAATAATTAATAACGCTCCACTGCGGCGGGTCAGAGGGTCGTCTACCCCCAGAGCGTCATCCGTTACCGATTTACCCGCTGCGAAGAAACCATTCCGACATTCCGTAATTGATGACGCCATATTTACCGTTTCAGGCGACGTATTTATCACATTTTTACAATGGGAGCTCCGACTCTTAAATAGAATTCTGTAGCAGGAGAATCCCTTTCCGAACACCGAAGACTCCTGTCAGACGCTCGGATTGGCCTAGAAGCCAACAGCTATGAAATATTCCGGACAGTCGTGCCCGGAATCCTGCAGGTTCGGCCTTGCTTGGCAGCTACGTGCACTTTGCTTATTAAATATCGCTCGGTTTGATCAAATCTTGGATGCGACCCGGAATAATAAGCTAAATTAGAGAGGAAAGTGCATCTACCTGGATGCAAAATGTCTAATATCACAAAAAGAGGAAGTACAAGTATTTAGAAATTTCGAAGGGTTTAGTGGGAACAATTACAGAATTCGTCTCCAAAATGAATGTTCTTTGCGGTAGGAACAAATATTTGTTAAGTTTTTTCATTAATCAGTTAGGGCAGGTTGCAAGATTTGGGAAAAATATCGTGCTGCGTGCGATAAATCACCTGGGTCTGTGAAAGCAGCGCAACGCTTTTGTGGGTGATGTTCTTTCGGATTCCTTTTATGGTCCGGTATTATGCGTTAGAAATAAAAACAGTCCTTAGGGAAGCATGACGGAAAAATAATTTCTTAGGCCTATGATCCTGTTGAGTGAACAACGATGGAATCTGTAGAAACAGCAGAAGACAGGAAATTCTACGAAAATGAAAATTAAACATCAGAAACGAAACGATTTAAAGAATCATGAGAATAAACAACAGTGGGTAAAACGTTACGTGTTTTTACAATACAGAAAACTACGTCATTGGTTCATTACAGAATCGTAAAAACGTGCGTGGGCTTCAAATTTATCTCGAGTTTTCCCAGCAAAAGCAGTTTTGTATAAATGTTAGGCATCACTTTTTAAGCTACAAACTGAAGTTGCTTTGTGTTTAGTAAATAAGGCTTTATCTTGAAGTTAACAATGGATATTGTAACTAAATATAAAAACTTTCGTGGGGTATGATGAACATATAAAAACTAACGAACT